TAAAATTATAATAAATGACTATTTCTAAATATTAGGGAAAAATCAAATGACTATTTTATCCACCGTGTATTATACTTTAAAAGGATAAAAAAGGCGAACGACATTTCGCTAAGGGCCTTCGTGCTTTTAATATAGTATAGATAGATTATTTATGACTGCTTTTCAGGTCGTTAAAATAATTTTCTAATTTTCGTTTTTTACAAGCGCAATTTGAAAATTTTAAACTGTAAATATTTAAAATAAGCCCGGCCTTTTGGTTATTTGCTAGTATTGCATGACTTTTAGTCGTAATACGTGTTGAGCGGCGGAACCAGGATTTCAAGTTTACGGGTTCGGAATTCTAATCCTTTTAAGTTACTAGGTTTTAAATTAATAATTTGTACATATTTGATAAAAAATTAAAACAAATACATAATGTAAACCAAAGCTACTGGGTTCGGCCAAAGCCATAGCCGGCACTGTGGATCCGCCTCTGCATGTAGGGCTGCTTATCGGGCGGATTGGGCGGTTATTCACTCTTAACAGTTTGGCTTATCGGTTATCGGCTTTTAAATGTATTAATCCGCTAGCCACCCGATAAGGTATTGGGCGGATTGGTATCGGTTTAGCTCTTATCGGGCGGTTATCGGGCGGTTTATCGGTCTAGCAATTTATATATATATATATATATATATATATATATATATATATATATATATATATATATATATATATATATATAATATATTATATATCATTTATACATTCACGAGCCTCAGACATTGGCATGCCATTGATTATTTTTGTTAACTGGAAACTTGATTTAAAAGGATATTGCTAACCAGCAAAGAATTTCCGACATTGCAAATACTTGTTCATCTCCATAATTTTTGTTATCACTATATGTTGGCTTCTGCAAATAAGGTTTCAGATGATAGCATGTAGGTTTGATCTACGGTGAAGATGGGGTTTCCTTTAGTTAAACTTTTTCGCTCAAAGATCAAGATTTATGAAAGTTATACGGGACATCACTGACCATCTTGGGAATCAAACTCTGTAGCTTTCTATTCGTAATATCAGGGATAATAGAGAAGTGCAGAAAGAGTTCAACCTCCACACCCACCCCCTTTCGAAAACCCAAAATGGTTGCAATATCAACGTTTTCTATTGTTAACCATAAAGACCCACTTCACCATTCTCAGAAAAACCATAAGAAATACTTTAACTGGCCATTAAATTTTCTTGTGTTGAATTTCACTTTCATTCAAAAGAGTTGCTATTTGAAAAATAAAATGCTAACCAATAACATTATTGCTTCAAATATGAGAATGCACAGTTGATATTAATTTTGACGGTATTATGATTTGTGATTTACATCATTGTGTTAGTTGCCCGTTAAACTTCCTTAGTTTATATATATATATATATATATATATATATATATATATATATATATATATATATATATATATATATATATATTCTTAACGGGTTAACGGATTAGCCGTTAAGAAAATTGAATAATCCGCCCCCAAACCGATAAGCCGTTAATAAAAAAATTTTAATCCGTTCTCCGTCCATTAAGCCGTTAAGCCGTTACCAGTAAGCCATTAAGCTTCGGTTCGGTTTGGTTTTCGGTTTCGGATCGGTTTTGAACACCCCTATCTGTATGTGTTCATATGGTAGAAATAGCGCTCACTGAGTATTTTTGGATCGTGTAATTTAAAAATAAGCACTATCATGGAGTTTGAAATTTCACAAGGTGAAACTTCATGATAATATCCTGGAGTACCGTGAAATTCGAAACTCCATAACAATAACTATATTTCAATTACAGGAACTTAAAAGTGACTATTTGTGAATTTTACCCGTTCACAGGTTGATCTTTGGTATATATTTATGACTCATTGCTAAGCTTAGGGTGTGCAAATCGAACCAGAAAACCGCACCAAACCGAAAATCGATTAAAAAATCCGATTAGATTTGGTTTGGTATTGATTAAAAAATCCGAACCAAACCGACATATAAATATATAAATTTTATATATACTTTTAAGATTTTATATAGAATTTTCGTAAAAAATATCTAGAAATATTTGGGATTCTCTTACGGGATATAATATTTAATAGAATGTAAAGTGCATCATATTTATTAACCTTAAATAATGGGTTGTGTGGTCACTTGTTTATCAAGTGTTACTGAAATGCGTCGATCTCTTTGTTCTTCAATTTTCATATGTCAAGATCTATTTAATTCTTATATCTTTTTTGAATTTGAAGTGGTTATTATTAATTAGGTTCATATTGATTTTTATGTTTAATTATTAAATTCGGTTAACCTTGAAAGTGTAAATCAACAGAAAATTATTGTCAGAAGACCAAAAAAATAACTATCATGTGTTACTAAAAAAATATTTTTCATAAGAATATTTTAATAGATAATAATTTTGTCAAATTTTTCAAGTTTTTAAATTTTTACAAACATATATTTACTTATCAAAAATTTAACAAAGTAAGATTTAAATAATATTTAACTAACAAAAAAAAAAACCCAAAAAAACCCAACAAAACCGAACCAATCCACACCGATATAGTTGGTTTAGTTGGATTTTGATAAATATCGAACCACACTACTCGAAATCCGGTAAATACCGACCAAAAAAATCGACCAACTTTGGTCGGTTATTGCCAATTACAGACCAAAACGCGATCAAATACGCTTGGACGGTATTTTGATGGTCGTTTTAATATACCGACTAAAGTTGGTCGGAAATTACCGACCAACGTTGGTCGGTAAATTAAATTCAAAAAAAAATATTGCAAAAAAAAAAAAAAAACCGACCAAAGTTGGTCGCTTTTTTCCGAACAAAGTTGGCCGGTATTTTAATTATGTAATCAAAAGATTCACCGTCTGGGAATCGAACCGGGGTGTGTACTGTGGCAGGATACTATTCTACCACTAGACCATTGGTGCATTTCGTTTTAAGATTGTCTTTTTATTTATTTATACTCTTTAACTGTATTTTCGCACGAAAATAACCGACCAAAGTTAGTCGGTTTTATTAAAAAATAAAATTACTGACCAAAGTTGGTCGGTTTCTTGAAAAATAAATTTTGCGGGACTCAAAAATAGTTTCCCGCTTTTTTGCGCCAAAGAAAACCGACCAAAGTTGGTCAGTTTCGTAAAAAAAAATTAAAAATTAAAATATTTTGAAAAACCGACCAACTTTGGTCGGTTTTTGGCCGTTTTTTTTGCCGACCAAAGTTGGTCGGTTTTTGGTCGGTTTTTGCCGAATTTCTAGTAGTGCCAATCCAAAGCGATATAGTTGGTTTAGTTTGATTTTGATAAAAACCGAACCAATCTAATCCATGTACACCCCTGGCTAAGCCCATGTAGCAAGCCTGTATTTATTTTTTTTATGATAAAACCTGATATTTTTGCTCGAATTAACACACAATATCAATCAATTAAGTGATCAAGAATCACATTTTCCAGTATCGTTATGTCAACCACAACATCTATAACAACCATGTTCTATTGACAAGTTAATAAAATAACACAACTAAAGTCTGGTTTTCTACTTTCGAAAAATATCTATCGAAACATATTGTTTTCAAAAATTATAATCTACCATTATGCTTGTCTATCCCACCTGGTAACCAAACGACAGAGATAACAAAGGGAGTTGTGCTTTGTAGAACACATAAGTTGCCATAAAAGGCCAAAATATTTACAAGTACTTGTAGATAAATATCCTGATTGTAGTACCTAATTTATTCAGTACATTTTTTTTTTATCTAATTATTCAAAAAAAAAAAAAAAATCTCTAAAACTTGCTTCAGTATAGTCATCAAAGCAAAATATTAGATGTCTTCCGAAAGCAGTAAACTAATCTTGCAACCCTTTTCTTTGCAATCAATCAAAATACATTCCAATATATTAATTTAATCTCTTTTATAAAAATAACCAAAATTAAATGCCAAGTTTGTACATATATAGCAATATAAAATGAATATTATCTTCTTTTTTAAGTAATGACTCTTTACCGAGATGCTGCAATCATAGTGGTGGGGCGCAACGTTCATGAAATAACCATACCCCAGGCCTAAGCTTGACTCTTATTGACTTGGCTTTGAACAATATAAAGAAAATAAATTACAATAAGTTGACTGACTGATATTCTGTTTTATAAACACAACGCAAATGGTGTCAACTAGGAATAGGGGTGACAATTTGAGCTCAAATCAATTTAATTCATTCAACCCGCTTAAGGTTTGGATCGATCATTGACCCGCCCATTTGTTGAAGTCAGCCTATCTTGACACAGCCCATCTCAGACCTTCTAAAATTGGGCTGAAATTTAACCCAAATTGATTCATGAGTAACTTAGCTATAATATCTTTAATATATTTTTGTTTTATTTGATATATTATACAATATGACCATAACAAAAGAAAAAAAATCTTATTTGGTAATTAAACAATTCATAAGAAAATAATACATATAATTAAAGCTTGGTAAAAGTTGGGCGGGTTGGAGTATGATCCGAATTTTAGTCCACTTGACCCAGCTCATTTCAGTCCCAGTAATTTTTGGGCGAATCATTTATTAATTCAGAATATTTTGACTTGTCCAAAATCAACCTAATCCGTCCGTTTGACACTTCTACCAAGGCAAGTGGATAGGTTCTTTTTTCTTTTTGCTACTTTTTTAGTCCTTTTATTCGTGCACTTTAATCAGTTTTACTTTAATCAGTTTTCTCATTTTTCACATTTTCACTGTCATTATCTAATCTTTTATGTCGAACATTATTGATTATCCGTTTCCATATTTTTATTTTTGTTCTTTTTTTTTTTAAAATCTTGGTGCTATATAATGGAGTGGCTTTGAACTTTGGCAACACCACACAAATCCAGTATCCATATTCCCTTGAAAGATTCTATTTCTAGTGCATATGGATAAGCAAATTTTCTTAGTGATTCTTCTCTTTCTAGGTCAATGTTATTTGCTTTCTATATCAGCTGCTTCCTCAAATGAGACAGACCAAGATGCTCTACTAACTTTCCAAAATCTTGTTACAAGTCCAATTCATTTTCTGGCCAAAAACTGGACTAAGAATACTTCTTTTTGCTCTTGGTTTGGTGTCACTTGCAATTCAAAAAGGCAAAGAGTTGTATCCTTGGCTCTTCCAAATTTGCAACTTCAAGGCACAATATCTCCATCTTTGGTCAATTTATCCTTTCTTAGAGACCTCAATCTTGTAAACAACAATTTCCAAGGAAATATTCCAACGAGTCTATTTCAACACCAAAGAATTCAAAATATTTCATTGGCTTTTAACAAACTTAGTGGTGAAATATTTCAAGGGCCATGGTATTTACCCGAACTTAGAGTCTTGGATCTTACCAACAATAATCTCACAGGAATCATCCCTCTTTCTATTGGAAATGCTACAAAATTGCTAAACTTAAGTTTGGCTAGGAATAGAATCATCGGCAATATTCCAAATGAGATTGGTAATTTGAGTCAACTTGAAATGTTGTCCTTGTCCCATAATCAATTAACAGGTCCCATTCCTGCACTACTTTTTAATATTCCTCGCTAATTTCCATACATTTGCGAGCCAATAGCATTTCTGGTCCTTTATTGCTCAATGTAGGGAATCTTAAATCCAATCTAAAGATTCTTGGTATACCATACAATCAAATTTCTGGTGACTTTCCTTCCAATATTTGCCAATTCACAGAGCTCACAGTGTTTTCCATAGCTTTCAACAATATAACTGGTGAAATACCCAGAAATATTGGTTGTTTAGCTAAGTTGAAGAAGTTCTTTGTTGGAAATAACGCTATAAACTGACTGACTTGGTGACTAAGTTAAGTAGGAATAGCTAAGTTAAAGCTTACTGACTTGGTGTTAGCTGAAAACTTTTTCACTGGCAAAATTCCTACTAATTTGGGAAATCTTCGCGAGCTACAAGGATTGTTCTTAGTAAAGAATCAACTTACTAATGAACCAAGTGAACATGAGTTGTTATTCTTGAATTCTTTGGTGGAATGTAGGATGTTGCAATATCTATCATTTGGTTACAATCCATTGAACGGAATTCTTCCCAATTCTATTGGGAATCTTTCATCTTCTACTGAATATTTTGAAATAGCAAATGCACGTATCAATGGCCTTATACCCAAAAGTATAGGCAACATGACCGGTCTAACCATGCTAGACATTCGGAAAAACAACTTGATGGGGAATATTCCTTTTGAGGTTAGTAAGCTTAAACAACTCCAAGGGCTATATCTACATTACAATTAATTACAAGGACATATTCCTAAGGTAGTATGTCAATTATCTAGTTTGGTTCAGTTGATTCTGTATAATAATGAGCTCTCTGGGATGATCCCTGAATGTATAGGAAATCTAAGTATGCTACAAGAACTTTGGTTGGGATCTAACAATTTTGCCTCGAATTTACCTTTGAGCCTTTGTCAGTTGACAGGTCTTCTCCATCTAAACATTTCAAGGAATTCTCTACAGGGAGAAGTTCCACTTAATATTGGAGAACTAAAGGCTATTATAGGACTAGATTTTTCTAGTAACCACTTTTCAGGCATGATACCTAGCAGAATAGGCGAGCTCGAGAACATGCAGTATCTTTATCTATCAAACAACTCATTCTCGGGTTCAATTCCATCATCCTTTTCCAAGTTGATAAGCATGGAGTTCTTGGATCTGTCATTAAATGCCATTTCAGGTACTATTCCTATGTCATTGGAAAAACTGTCGCGCCTTAGAAGTATCAATGTTTCATTTAATTATTTAGAAGGTGAAATACCCAATGGTGGTGTGTTTGCAAATTCCACTCCGCAATCTTTCGTAGGCAACAAAGGTCTATGCGGAATGCACATGTTGGAAGTTCCTGCTTGCGCTATCACTAATCCTAGACGTCATTCAAAGTCTAAGAACTAAAAATTGTTACTCCAGTGGTTACTTCATCCTTTCTGATATTCTTCTTGGTCTCAATTTGGATAATGATACAGCAAAGGAAGGGAAAGTCAAAAGATGTAGAAAAGGTACCAGAGCTCAGGACTTATCAATTGATTTCTTATCATGAGATTCGACGAGCAACAAATAACTTTGATGTGTCAAATTTAATTGGGGTGGGAGGTTCTTGCTCTGTGTATAAAGGCACATTATCTAGTGGAACTGTGGTGGCAATAAAGGTTTTGGACTTGCAAAATGAGGAAACATGCAAGAGGTTTGATACTGAATGTGAAGTGATGAGAAATGTTAGGCATAGAAATCTTGTACAGGTGATTACTACTTGCTCTAGCGAACACATAAGAGCCTTTGTCCTGCAATATATGCCCAATGGGAGTCTTGAGAATTGGTTGTACAAAGAAAAGTCTCACTTGAACCTCCTTCAAAGAGTTACCATAATGCTTTATGTGGCTGTGGCAATTGAATATCTGCATCATGGTTATGACACTCCGATAATTCATTGTGACCTAAAGCCAGCCAATGTTCTTTTGGATAAAGATATGGTAGCTCATGTTGGTGATTTTGGCATCTCTAAAATTTTAGCAGGAAACAAGTCCATAGCACATACCACGACATTGGGCACTCTTGGTTACATTGCATCAGGTACACTAGTCTCTTATTCTTTTCTCTTATCATACTTAAGCCTTTCCAAATTTTAGAACTAAGGAAAAGAATGTCTTGTTTTTACGGATTATGGATATACTTCAGAGAATTAATTGTTTTATTCATTTTCTTTCTTCTAAGAGTATGGCTCGGAGGGAATCGTGTCCACTAGTGGTGATGTTTACAGTTATGGCATCATGTTGATGGAGGTTTTGGCAAAAAGAAGACCAATCGATGAAGAGATATTCAATGAAAGTCTTGGCATAAGGGAGTGGATGAGACGAGCATTTTCAGGGACTATGTTGGAAATTGTGGATGCTAATCTTTTTTCTGAGGAGGATAAGATTACTTCCAAAAGTGAAAGTTGCATTGCCTCCATGATAGAATTGGCTTTGGACTGCACAAATGAAAAGCCAGAATCAAGGATAACTATGAAAGATGTAGTCAAGAGGCTTAATAAAATCAAGAACATATTTTTGGGAAGTAGAAGTTAGCATCTCTATCTTTAGGTGGTGTTCTTTCTGAGTTGCAAATTAATATGTCGCTTTTTGTTTACCTGATTTTTTTAATATAGTCGTCCATACTACTTGGACTCATGTACTGTTTGTACCTTTGAGTGTTGAATTCTCTCTTGTTTGTAATTTTATATTTGAGTGATTGTAAACCTATTTTACGTTTTTAGTAATTATGCTTTGAATGCTAATTATGAAGGTGTTTAGCAGTACTATTTTGGCTTTCTGTTTGCAAGCTTGGAAATATCTCTTCCACCTCTTATCGCCTCTAATTCATATTTTTTGATTCATTATTTTATTCCTTTGTATTCAATAACTTAATAAACCATTTTATTTTTAACTCAATGTATTAGTGCAAACAAAATATTTGTGCCATATTTTTGTTGGTGGGAATAAACCCCCTTAGAAGTATTATTTTTAACGGTAATAGCAGCGGAATAATAATGTAGTACCGAGATACGGTAATTAACAAGAATAAAAAGAACAACAAGGACACAAATATTTTAACATGAAAAACCCTTCTGAATAAGAAAAAGAATCACGGGCCCGAGAGGAGCAAAGTAATCTACTATAATGAGGAATTTTACACTCCGTAGTCCCGAGTAAATACTCCAGGAACCACTATATATTCAAAAGAAATAACCCTCTTTTGAGATTCCCACGTCACTACAATATCAATCACACACTATATTTTTTCTCACAAACTATTTTTCTTATCTGTGAAATACTTCAAGCTTTATTGCTTCTGTGTGTTTGAACAAAGAAGCCGGGAGCTCCTTTTTATAGGCAAAGTCACATTTCCTCCAACCAATAGGAATGCTTGCTTTACTTGAAATTTGCCAACTTGCATTCTAGCAAGTTGTTGCCAAAACAGATTTGGCCCTTGGTGTCTGATTTCTCATTTTTCAATTTATTTCATTTATGGGGCCGGACCCCATCAATCTCCCCCTCCAGACTCGTTCTAGTGAAAGAGATAATACGGGCTTCTAGTTTAAGTGCGTGCCGACAAGTTCGAGTTGTGCCTCGAACTTGTCTCTTGGTACCACCTTGGCCTTAAAGGGTGTTATTTCGACTTATCAAAATGTTAACCCGTCGTCGTTCGATCGAGGTCGAACTTTTCTCTCTTGGCGAAGGCCCTTGGCCTTAAAGGGTGTTATTTTGACTTATCGAAATGTTAACCCGTCGTCGTTCGATCGAGGTCGAACTCTTCTCTCTTGGCGAAGGCCCTTGGACTTAAAGGGTGTTATTTCGACTTACCGAAATGTTAACCCGTCGTCGTTCGATCGAGGTCGAACTCTTCTTTTTGGCGAAGGCCCTGGCCTTAAAGGGTGTTATTTTGACTTACCGAAATGTTAAATCGTCATCGTTCGATCGAGGTCGAACTCTTCTTTTTGGCGAAAGCCCTCGGCCTTAAAGGGTGTTATTTCGACTTATCGAAATGTTAACCCGTCGTCGTTCGATCGAGGTCGAACTCTTCTTTATGGCAAAGGCCCTTGGCCTTAAAGGGTGTTATTTCGACTTATCGAAATGTTAACCCGTCGTCGTTCGATCAAGGTTGAACTCTTCTTTTTGGCGAAGGCCCTTGGCCTTAAAGGGTGTTATTTCGACTAATCGAAATGTTAACCCGTCGTCGTTCGATCGAGGTCGAACTCATCTCTCTTGGCGAAGGCCCTTGGCCTTAGAGGGTGTTATTTCGTCTTATCAAAATTTTAACCCGTCGCCGTTCGATCGAGATCGAACTCTTCTTTTGGCGAAGGCCCTTGGCCTTAAAGGGTGTTATTTCGACTTATCGAAATGTTAACCCGTCGTCGTTCGATCGAGGTCGAACTCTTCTTTTTTGGCGAAGGCCCTTGGCCTTAAAGGGTGTTATTTCGACTTATCGAAATGTTAACCCGTCGTTGTTCGATCGAGGTCGAATTCTTCTTTTTGGCGAAGGCCCCTGGCCTTAAAGGGTGTTATTTCGACTTATCGAAATGTTAACTCGTCGTCGTTCGATGGAGGTCGAACTCTTCTTTTTTTGCTAAGGCCCTTGGCCTTAATGGGTGTTATTTTGACTTATCGAAATGTTAACCTGTCGTTGTTCGATCGAGGTCGAACTCTTCTTTTTGACGAAGGCCCTTGGCCTTAAAGGGTGTTATTTCGACTTATCGAAATGTTAACCCGTCGTCGTTCGATCGAGGTCGAACTCTTCTTTTTTGGCGAAGGCCCTTGGCCTTAAAGGGCGTTATTTCGACTTATCGAAATGTTAACCCATTGTAATTCGAGCGGGGTCGAATTCTTCTTTTTTGGCGAAGGCCCTTGGCCTTAAAGGGTGTTATTTCGACTTATCGAAATGTTAACCCGTCGTCGTTCGATCGAGGTCGAATTCTTCTTTTTGGCGAAGGCCCTTGGCCTTAAAGGTTGTTATTTCGACTTATCGAAATGTTAACCCGTCGTTGTTCGATCGAGGTCGAACTCTTCTCTCTTGGCGAAGGCCCTTGGCCTTAATGGGTGTTATTTCGACTTATCGAACTGTTAACCCGTCGTCGTTCGATCGAGGTCGATCTCTTCTTTTTGGCGAAGGCCCTTGGCCTTAAAGGGTGTTATTTCGACTTATCGAAATGTTATCCCGTCGTCGTTCGATCGAGGTCGAACTCTTCTTTTTGGCAAAGGCCCTTTGCCTTAAAGGGTGTTATTTCTACTTATCGAAATGTTAACCCGTCATCAGTCCCAGTTTTCCGGAGAATCGGGTGTCTTTTGGAAGAGTCCTAGTCAGCTAGATATTGTTCGCATCGGATTGCGTTATATTGGAGGGTATGAAACGTCACGGTTTCACTTATGTTTGTTCGGCATGTTCATAGGAGTTTCCTTATCTAACTCCTGCCTTTAGGTTCGGAGATATAATCGGCGGGCGATGTTCCGGTTGCCGCGTGGTAGTTTTTCATTCCTCGATTGAGGTGTTTCTTTGCTCACTCGCTCGCGCGACGTTTGTGTTCCTACTTGAGCATAGAGCAGAAAGCAAGTTAGAACGATACTGTTCTTACCCCCATCCGATGAATCGGTGAATCAGAGTAGGTTGATAACATAGCTCGTTTTGCTTGGCCTTTCGATGGGTGATGGAGCCCTTCCGGCATTCTATTGGCTGTATTCAGCTTTCTTTTCCTTTCTAGGCTGCGTCTTTATTGTGCTTGGATAGGGCTTTGTCTTGGCGATCTTCTCGGGGGATAATCATGTTCCTTGCCTTTGATCTGGAAGAGACTAGGACATTTCACTAAGAAATCCCCACAGACGGCGCCAAATTGTTTGACTCAAAATATATATTGCAACCATTTTGAACAAATCAATCAAAGAAAATGATGAGGTAAATCTTAGTCATTCGTAATGAATTCCAGATCAATGAACTAGATGGGGAACAACATATAAAGAGAAGTAGAGATAAACAATCTTCATGAAACTTCTTAAGATTGTTCTCATTAATCAGTGGAATAGAACATGATACATATTACGTCGATCGCACAGGATTGCTTCATTCATCTCTCTGCTTTTCGAAGTTGCAGAGACGAGATAGATGGAGAATAGGAGAGCTGTTTTATTTCCCCCAGAACGCCCCCCCCTCCCCCCCTCCCCCCCTCCCTCCCCCCCCCGAGAGGTTTTTACCCTCCTATATATACAGCCCTGGACCTCCGGCTATGTGGTCTATCCGACGCTTCTTCTATGCCTCACACTCCTCGTTTACTTGCTGGAGGTCGTCCTTTACTGCTTCAACGAAAGTCGTGAGGGCAGGATATGGAACACCTCATATTGATCCTTATTTCCTCGCCGTCCGTGAGCGGGGCGTTAGTCTGTCTGACCATTGTGGTCAGATTTTGACCAATACAAGAATCCAAATAAAGCGCTTGTAACATGCTAAGATTTCCCATACATGTTGGAACCATACCAGAGAGCTCATTATTTTGCAGATATAATTGAACCAAATTAGATAAATGACATACTACCTCGGAAATATGCCCATGTAATTTATTGTTATGTAGATGTAGCCCTTGGAGTTGTTTAAGCTTACCAACTTCAGAAGGAATACTTCCCGTCAAGTTGTTTACTTGAAAGTCTAAGGTTGTTAGACCGGTCATATTGCCTATACCTTTAGGGATGAGTCCACTGATGTGTGCATCTCCTATTTCAAGGCTTTCAGTAGTAGATGAAAGATACCCAATAGAACTGGGCAGAACACCATTCAATGGATTGAAACTCACGTCTAGCTTTCGTAGCATCCACCAAAGAATTAAAGAATCGCAGCTCTTGTTCACTTGGTTCATTCGTAAGTTGATTATCACTTAGCAATAGTTCTTGCAACGCACGAAGATTTCCCAAATTAGTAGGAATAGTGCCTGTGAAAAAGTTATCACTTAGCTCTAAGTGAAGTATGTTGGAAGCATTTGTGATGTGCGGAGGAATTTCCCCTTCGAGTTTATTGCCTCCCAAGACAAGTTCTTTGAGGTTAGGAAGATGAAGACCAGTAGTGGATGGAATTCTCCCCGAAAGTTTGTTGGAAGTGAAAGCAATGAACTCCAAAGAGGATATATTAAAAATATATCCTTTGGAATTTGACCATTAAGATCATTCAAATCAAAGTCCAACTCCCTCAAATTTGATAGCCTCCCAATTTCTGAAGGAATTTGTCCCTCTATGTGACTGTTTGCACAAGAGAGATATTGCATAGTGGAAATATTGCCCAATGAAGGAGCAGCTGTTATTGAAATAGAGTAATATTGAAATATAAAGAAAAGAATCAATAAGAAAATGTGCTTCTCCATATGCACTTGGAAAACAAGACTGCTTCGAATGTAATTGGTAACTTGATTTGCTTGGTTGCCAACGTTACTCCATTTATATAGTGGATCACTTGGAAATCTCCACATAAAATGAGAAAGTTGATTAACGGTGGACTTGACTCCACTTGGATAATTTCCACAAATTAAAACGTAAATCACCATCAGGAGGAAAATATATCGCAAAAAGCAAATGAAAAATCTGTCCACTTGGATTATTTCCACAAAACAGAAGAAACGTTGTCATCTCGTACTAGAAGGAAAGAAATTCTTTTTGACACGTGGCTCAAAAGTGTAAAAACCACAACTCACACCCTATCGTTGATTGTTGCTAGTCGCTTCAAGCTAACTGTAGCTCGAGTAATGTTCACTTCAAATTACAACCT